AAAATGCTTATTAAAATAGAATCATTTGTCACAGATTCCAGTAGCTAAATTATGTTAATAAAATTTATAGAGAACAATAACACAATTTAGAAATTGATACAGCAATATCTAATATGCTCTGCAGTCTGATTGATACTGTATTCTGTCCCATCTTAGTGATGTGAACAGTAGATCTGAAAAGATCCCATATAAAGGGAGAATAAGGAAAGATGTTGTTTAAGGTTTGACGGTTGGACTCGATGATCTTAGAGGTCTCTTCCAACCTTAATGATTCTATGATTCTATGTTTAATTAAAGGGCTTCAAATCTAAGTTTGTATATCATTATTTGATGATAAAGATCACTGTTTCTGAAGGGAATAAAGAGGCTTGAGAACAGGAACTCTGTGAATGCATGCAACAAACATAAAACAGTTTGTGAATTTAAAGTTGCTTGCTTAGGTGTTGTGCAAAATTAATACTGCAAATGCAGGTGCTAAAATCATATTTCCTGCCTGTTTTAAATTTCATCCGCCTGTCTCTGTGATTCTATTAGTTACCCATCACCCCTAAGAATGCCAGTCAAAAGCCCATGGGCCTGTTTCATCCAGAAATGCCTCAAGGCTTTTGTTGCATATTCCCTCCATTGAGTTAACTGAGAGAAAGCAGAGAAAGCAGTACACACCATCACCTTCTTGCTTCTTGAATATCCACTTTGCAGTGATGTTTTTCCAAAGCAAACAACATTTGCCCCAGAACCCCCATTGTCTTTAGTGATTGACTATGGGAGCAGGATTATGTGAATACTACTGAGACTGTTTGTAAAAGTAGGTTGAAAACTTCACAGCAAGTTGGGTGTATTGCTAACCACCTAATAGAAAGACAGAATCATTAAATTGGCCACCTCTGGTTTTTTTTCCTTCCTGCTTCTTGCAGTTTGTTTTGACTTGGATTGATCGAACTGATTGGATTTATAAAGATGTGCAGGGAAATATCTTCCACAGTAGATCATCAGTCTTAATTAAAGACTTTAAAGGCTGTCACAGTGCAATGGAACATTACTAGGAGTTGCATCTTTTTAAATAAATTTTTAAAAATTTTCCTTTATCAAAAGCTGTAGTAAAGTCGTCTGTGATCAGTAATGCATGCATCTCCTCCTGGTGAGGTGAAGTATACACAGTGTGTTGTGTGTACACATCCAAGTGATTATGCATTGCATTGTCATAAACTGATTAGGATGCATTATCCTGAAGATCCTAATTTGGGGGGAATGGTTTCCCTTCTATTCTTCATGTTTCCTAGGAAAGTGCCCAACAGGATGGCACCACTATGAGGGCACAGCCAGCTGTTATAAAGTGTATTTAAATGGGGAGAACTACTGGGACGCCGTGCAGACATGTCAGCGGGTGAATGGATCCCTCGCCACCTTCACTGCAGATCAGGAGCTAAGGTTTATCCTGGCACAGGAGTGGGACTTGGAAGAAAAAACGTTTGTAAGGAAGGACCAGCGTAGGTGAGTAGGAAGGAAAGGACAAAGATCTCATACTACATGAGAATGGTTTGTGTGTGATACAAATGCTGGTAGTCCAGTTTGCTTAGAAAATCTAATGGTAAAATTGACTTCAGGTTAATAACCCAGTATGACCATGCTGGTTGACTGTTTGGCAGTGGCTATCTGTATTTTATGTTTTAATTAACGTTAACAGGCTACAGTTCGACAGAATCTTTTTACCTTCAGGCTGTCTCAGCAACGTACTAGTATTCTTGAACTGCAACATGGAAGATGAATTTTACAATGACTTACAGCTGCGCTACCCTGTATAGAAATAATTCTTTAAATTTTTCAACAGAATTTTTATTTCCATTAAGTACCAGTAGCTCTAACAAAGACTGCAAGTTTGAGATAAGAATGAAATAAAAAGCCATTTTGAGTTGCAAGATCTATGTTCTGGTGGCTTTAGATATTTCATTCTGTTAGTTCACAACAAACATAATTCCTTTTTTTTGCCTGTGGGTTTTTTTTTGTGTCAGTCTTATGGGCTGCCATGACAGATCACCAGGAGTGGTTCATTAATGGTGTATTTCTGTCCCTGGAGAGTTAGGTGGCTTGACCTGGAACAGGCTGACATAAGTTGCATATGTTTATAAAATATTTGACTTCTGGATGCTTTTGTGTGGTTTTTGGGTTCCAGATACTGAAGTGCTGCCATAACAACAGAATAAGGTGCTTATTATGAGTATAAATAAAAGACACGGTGAGTTATTGTTTGTAAACATAGAAAACTATCAAGTATTTTCCTCTATTCCTCAACTGTAGTCTCTCTACATTGCCGCGTATGGGCTGAAATGTTAAGGAAAAAATCATCAGAATGTTTTGAAAGTTAGCTTTTAAGTATAAAAACATTGGAAGGTTCTGTGTAATTTATTTTAATTTGTTTGCACATTTTTGGCTTGTATCTTTAGAATCTAACTTAATTTCTTTGTAGATTCTGGGTTGGATATCAGTATGTGATCACCAATCGAAATCACTCTCTAGAAGGTCACTGGGAAGTAGCTTATAAAGGTAGGCCCCTCAAATTATTACTTAGTTAAATGGCCCGTGGAAACTGTCTTTAAGTATGAATATTATTTGCAAGAACAACATAACTTCTTTCAGTGACAATGTTGAAATAGTGTAGGGGAACTGCTTTGTTTTACAGTATCAGAACAGCAGAGTCTAATACTCGATACACGTCTTATTTTCAAGTGTAAGAAGTTTCATAGTTTTTCACATTGACGTCTTGTGGAAAGACCGTGTTTTTCAGTTTATTTGGGCTTTCCCCTTGATTAAACTGAGAAAAAGGAAACTACTCTGTAGTTTCTCATTCTTTGCAGTGAACATCCAGCTGAACTGTATTTGCACAGACTAGTGTAGGATATTGGGGGGTTTTAGCTTTTTAAAAATGGGTAGATTTTTATATACTTAAAAAAATCTTGAATTTTGCAGAATTATCCATTTTTTTTTCATTTTAAAGTACTTCAGATAGTTTACTTAAACCAAGACAAAACTTGCCTAATCCCAGAAATAAATCCCAGTTTATATGAAAAACTGAACGTTAATCTGATAGGCATCACAGGCTGAACTTTTCAATTGCAGAACAAGAAGCTCCCTCTGCTGAAAATGCAAAGTTTATGTTTCTACACCTTTTATTTTTAACTAATTCAGTTGAGGGATTAGTTAATCTTAGTCATTATATGAACTCTTATGTGTAGAATTGAATGTCTAAATGCTGTACTGGTTTAGGTAGTGGAAAATTTAAAACAAAGCGGGTTTTTTTTTTTTTTTTAAGCATCAGCACTGTGAATTCCAGTGTAGCATTTGAAAACTAATCTGAATAGTTTTCTCATATACAATTTTCAGTAATGGAAAATCTGGAAGGAAAACTGTCCATTAGGTACAGATACATAATTGTGAACAGAATTTTACTACAGTTGGTTCTTCAAAAATACTTCCTTTGACACATGACAAGTAGTAGAACCCTGCGTAGCTTTCTAATGACAGTACTTGTTTACTGTGCTGCCATGCACAAAAATATTGATTTCTTTTGTCATTTAAGTTAACAGAGTTGACTGAATATTCAGAGGAAACTGCTCCTTCTTCTGGAGGCAGGAACATTTTCATCAGTTCCTTAAAGTAAAGCACCTAAAGATGTATTTGGACAGCAGGGGAAAGGGCGTGAGGGAATTCCAACTTTTTCTCATAATAGGGATTTCTGGTCTGGACAAAACTGTTTATATAGGTGGGTTTCTCTTGTGAAGCCTAAGGAAGAAAAAAAAATTCTCATTAAAAGAACCTTTCTTTGCCCTTTGGAAAGTTGACTGCACTGCCATCTGCTGACAAAATGTTTACAACCAGGGAGGCATAAATTATAGAAAAATCATGGTACCTGTTTTTATTTGATTTGATGCATTATATAAGTTTAAGCCTTCTCAATACCATATATTCTTTTTTTTGCAAGCTTTCTATTTAATAAAGAATATCTATATGAAATAAAATACATAGTAGTACATAGTAGTGTTCAATAGCTTCTGAAAAACTTTTGCTTAAGCTTCACTGACTTGTAGTGAGGCAGACTCTGAATTCCTGGTATGGTTTGAAAAGTGATTTGGAGTCGTCTAGCTTGGAAATGTTAATCTATTATTGGGAGATGTGGAAGGTAAGCCCTCAAAAAAATGATAGCAGAACCTACTTGCATTTAAAAACATTAAACAAACAAGAAAACATCATGCCTAACAGTGTTTGAAAGGACCATCATGTGAGAAGACTGCATAATATGCTTACTGCAAGAGCTGTTAAAATCAATGTTTAAGCACACAGATTTGGAAAGTAGGCTTCTGAAAACATATAAAATAGGCTGATTTTCACAATTGCTGTGTCTTGGTCTCCCATTAATCTCTGCAACTTTGCATACCAGCAGATTTAATGGTGAAGCGAGACACTGGTCAGAAACAACATTTTAAAAGTTATAAAATGCCCTCAACAACTCTTGCACTGTTTGGAACCCGTCACAATACAGTCTCTTAACAATTACGTGAGCTGGAAGGACCAAATAGTCCATACCACCACGGCAGCAGCAGAAGCGGTGTTGCAGGCTTGTTGTCTGCATGGGGGTACTCTGCACTCTGAATGAGCGGCATGAGACATGGGGGAGCAGCTCATTGCTGCACGGGATAGATGTACACACATCTTTGGAAACGCTAGTAGATGCTTGGAGTGCCAGGTACAAGATTGGTATGGGTTCTTGCTCCACTAGTAGCAAGCGTGGCCAAACTCAGTGTTGTTTGAAGGGGTGCATAATTATTGGCAGGCAAACCCCATGGGACTCTGGAAAGCAGCACTTGTAGAGATCAGAACATCACTCCTACTGGAGCAGAATGACAAAATTACCCAGTACTTTGAAAACAGCAGCCTCTTCTCTCTGTGAGTCACCCCTTCCCTCCTCGCTGTCTGCCTTCCCCCGGAGGAATGTTGCTAATGGAAGCTAAAGCTAGAGGACAGTAGCCTTGTAGCAGAGTCGCTGTGCATGAAATGAGTGACATTACAGACCCTTTCTAAAGCTTTGCATACCCGCAGGCTGCTTATACCAATGCATCTTGTTCTAGGCTCTTCAGAAGTATTTTTACCCCCTGACCCTATCTTTGGTACGGCTATGTCTGAAAATGAAAACGTTCTTTGTGCCCAGCTTCAGTGTTTCCATTTTCCTACCCTTCGGCACCATGGTTTACACAGCTGGTATGCTGAAAACTGCTATGAGAAATCTTCATTCCTCTGCAAAAGGAGTAAGTTGGTTTTAGTTCAGTGTTAACTGTGTTGTGTGTTTAAATATGCATATAACAAATATGGGGAAATTGGTTAGTTATCCTTTCTACCTTTTGCCCAGTGAATTAAAAAAAAAAAAGGGGGGGGGGGGGGAATTAAATTTCTGCTTGGTTTAAATAAATAAGAGCATCCTAATGTGTGGTTGTCAGCCACAGTACAGATTTTCACTAAAAAAACCGATTGTTAAACAGCTATATCAACCCCAAAATAAAGTATATTTGGAAAAAAAAAAAATCTAAAAAAAACCCCGCGCCTTATTAGTAAATATCACTCTTAAATTATTAACTTCACATGAAAATGAGGAAACACTTATTTCTGGTTTATTTTGAATATAGCAAATTCTATTAAATTCTTTCCAGCCAATTATTAGAACTAGGGGAAAAAAAAAGGCAAGTGGAGCTACTGACTTAATGTGGAAAAAAATGGCTTTCATTCTGTATCTTGCATTTCTTTACTCCAAAAGGCTTTATACCAACAGAAGTATTGGCAGTATTTTCAGGTAGTATTTAAGATACCTGATATGGATGGTGCTTCTCTGCAAGAAGGAGAAAAGTTGTTGAACTTGTACTGCAGTTCTTGAAGTTTCTCTAGGTTTTTTTTTTTTTTCCTTTAAAGCAGGAAAAAGACTTGCAGAATGGCAAGGGAGGATAATTCAGCCCTTCTTTGCCTGCTTTTGCACCTGAAATATTGAAAATTAGGAAGACAGGATATTGCCTTATCTACCTTGAGTTATAATAAAATCTTGGAATCTGATATTGAAGGGCATGTGTTTAGTCAAAATGATGATCAAAAGATGACCTTTTTGTCATCTTCCTGGGATGATGTTGTAAGGAAGGCGATAGCTCTGCCAAAACGTTAACCAGAGGGTGAGGCTATCAGATGTATAACTTAAGCAGAAGAATGCTGTGTGCAATCTCGGGCCTCGCAGTGCAAGAAAAATGTTGACAAGACCTTGACAAATTGAGGTGAGTTCAGTGGGGGCCAGCAAGATGGTGATGTGGGCTGAAGCGCCTGTCGTTTGAGGTGAGGCAGTGGGAATGGGGCTCCTTCAGCCTGGAGAAAGGAAGGCTTCCAGGGGACCTGATAGCAGCCTGCCAGTAGTTACAAGGAGGTTATCAAGATGATGGAGCCAGGCTGTTTACAGTGGTGTGTGGCAGGAGTCAAGGGACTTTAAGTTGAAACGAGATTTGAATTGATGCCAGGGAAAAGTGTTTAATCATGAGAGTAGTCAAGAGTAGAACAGACTCCCAGGGAGGTTGCGCAGCCTCTATCCTCGGAGGTTTTTATGACCAGGTTAGATAAAACCCTGAGCAACCTGTTGGGACATCATAGCTGACCCTGCTTTGAATAGGAGATTGAGCTGGAGACCTCCTCGGTCTCTTCGAGTCTGAACTTTCCTGTGGACCTTCCCAGCTGACCTGTGCGTAGGGTGGAGGGGGCAGTCCACCCTCCCTTGAGCAGCTGCTTCAGCTGGCAGATCCCAGTGCTGTCTGTGTTTCCTCTCTCTGGTTTTGGTACCTGCCTTTAGGTCAGTGGGAGGAAAGGACAGTGGACAGAAGACACCTAAACTTCCTCCGCTGGGCAGGGGTCAAGATGCAGCTAGGGCATTAGAAGTACTATTGCCTGGCTTCCTTTTTTAGGCCTGGCCTGTTAAGAGTGTCCTTCAGGTTTGGTCCAGGGAAGATCTAGCTTTTCCTAAGTACTAGGAGAGAGGGAGGGAGCTGCAGCAGGCATTGACAGTGAAGCTTAAACTTCTCAGACCACTTGCTTTTCTGTGTCTTGGAGAGGATGCCTGAAAGCGTGTCAATTCCATTAAATACTTAAAACTCACTTTATCAATTTTGAGCAGTAAATCATCCCTGCATGCCTCTAGACTATCCATTATCTTCCCCACTCCTTGGAGATCCCTTTTCAAAGTTGCTTTAATGTGAAGGCATGACTTTTAACTGGTGGTATGCTTATGTTTAAAAATCACTTAATGTAACAGAATAAACTGGACTCCTGTCTGGCAGGCTCACAGACACTTGGATATTGATGTGTGTTTCTGTTCTAGGCCAGACTTGCGTTGATATCAAAGACAACATTGTCGATGAAGGCTACTATTTCACTCCAAAAGGGAATGATCCCTGTTTGAGCTGCACATGTCACAATGGTGAACCTGAAATGTGCGTGGCTGCTTTGTGTGAACGGCCCCAGGGGTGTCAGCAGTATCGCAAAGACCCTAAGGAGTGCTGCAAATTTACATGTTTAGACCCAGGTAAGAGTTGACTGCTACAGTTTTGTCAAGAAAAATGAGTTCAGTGCTCAACTTGGTTATCTTTGGGTATAACTTTGTTTTAAATGATGCATCCCTTCAGACATTGCTGGGTACAAACACCCTGTGGGGAAAGATCTCAAATCACAGGAAATGAAACACTTCAGACTGTGGCTAGAAATAATTAGTCATCCTTGATGCTACTTATATAGGAGAAGCAGTAGCATATTTTCTGTATGGAGGTTGACACTGCTGTGGATTTTTAGTAGAGCGTCTTGCATGGTTCCTTTGTCATGTTTAGTTGTTATGAAAAGAAAAGACTTCTCTCTTGAGCACTAATTAAGCATCTTTTTCTGGACATGAGCATTTATGTGCGTGGAAGTTTGCATGCAGGGATCACATGGGAAGCAAAGTTTATAAATTATGTGGAGTTTCAGTAATAATCAGGACATGCAACCTTGCTTATTGGATTTGGCATCTCGGTGCAGCTTCTTGTTTTGGATCAGTAAAGTCTTCAGTTGACTCTGACTGAACTGTTAGTCACCATTTGGGGATTTAGATTTTGGAAGGGTTATTCTTCTGTAAAGAGACTTGCGAAAAGAAATGTATCTTACTTGGAATTTACCGTGAGGGTGGTCAAATACTGGAGCAGATTGCTTGTAGAGTCTCCATCTGTGGGGATATTCAGCGCCCGATTGGACTCTGTGCTGGGCAGCCTGCTCTAGCTGACTCTGCTTGCGCAGGGGTTAGACTGGATGATCTCAGGACGTCCCATCCAACCTCAACCATTCTGTGATACTGTTATTTCCTGGTATTTTAAAAGAACATAATCTTATCTGAGTGCGCTAAGAAACTATTATTCTGAACTCCTATGGAAAACATGAAAGGTCAACTCTTGCCATCAGAGGCTTCTATTTCAGCTTGTTACAAAAAAGGGGTGCTTATTGGCTTCCAAATTTGCAGTCTTTCTTATTTGTCTTAACTACAGAAGTTAATCATTAAAGGCCACTGGCTCCTCCTTGCTGTCATTCACATTCATGCTGAGGGTTAAGCTTAACAGATGTTTCTAGCTAGCGTTGCAGGTTGGTTGGTGAGAGTGGGGAAAAAACAGGAGTCTTCCTCCCACTCTTATCAGCAGAGTTAAGACTTTGTCTTCACGTTTTTATCTTCAGGAGCAGTGTCAGAAAAGCGTCATCCAGCAGACAGGATAAGATGGCCTGGGATAACCTCGTGCCGTGTTCTTTAATCCTTGCTTATTGCTGTGGGTCTTAAGTATTTCATGAATACTGATTTGAAGAGTGTATTTTACCACATCCTTTCTGATCCTTAAGCTCTTCTTTCTGTACTGATGCTAAATAAGACTGTTTCATTATACTCTTGCCTAAAGTGTTCTGGTTTTTTTAGTAACTTAGTTTTTGAGAGTAGAATCCTCAAGCAGTTGTCAAACTTCCTTCATAATGAAGTTACTTCAGCTAGTGATAAACACTGAAATTTTTAAATGAAGCATTTCAGTTTTCCTTCTGGGTGTTTATAAATGACTATTCCAGATGACAAAATTAATGAATTACTTTCTTTAATCAGCATGTATTTATCTTTTCCAATTCTTACATATATCTCCCCTAAGCTCTGTTACAAAGGAAAGAAAACAGTTTACTAATCAACAGTAAGTAAATTAATCACCCAAGGAGAGACCGGGGGGAAATAAATCCTGCTGTTGGGTTGGCAGGTAATCAGCTCTCACAGTGTGAGTGGGTGAGCAATGATTACAAGTGGATAACGAATATTACTCAAGGACTTGGTAGTAGGGGAATTTTTCAGTGGTAGGAGTAAGCTGAGCAATCACAGCTACACTCTCTTGAAAGATGCTTCTCCTCATTTAGGTGAAGATAAATAGCAGTGGAAAATCTTTCATGTACTAATGCTGAAACTGAGGTAGCCTGTCTGTTCCTGCTCCATGGATGTGTGGTAGAAAATAATTTTTTTCTGTGGCTCTTGTTTAGACAGACCCACAAGTCTTATTTGTGGAAAAAGTAATAAAAGAAATAAAATACTTTGAAAGAGCTGATGGTGCAGAAGCTTTTCTAGTGACAAAACTGGTGCAGTTAGAGGGTATTACTACCGTTTTGAGTGTAAAACAGACTTTCTGAAATAATCTGTATTTATGTGGGTTGGAAATCTCTGTGATGACTTACCTTGTTCTGTACAAGCTGGGTCTTTGTCTTTTTCTTAATCTAGGACATTACTTGACAATAGTTTATCCAGCCAAACAGGTTGAACATTAGGAGCTCTCACAGGCTGGGAGCAGTGTGATAGAGGCCCAAGACGCCCCAGAAGGTCCAAGAATTGCAGTTGTAGCTGGCCTAAAGAGAGTATGTGGAAGTCAGGCATTCTGCCTACAAGATTGCTTCATGCTTGCCTGTGTGTATATTTTACTTAAGTCACTTTATTTAAGGCAGTTATTAGCACTAATTTATGATGTTCATGAAGTCAGCATTGCCATAAAATGGAGGAGGAACAATGGCAGGTCTGTGGTGTTCAGGAGGGTGTGTTGGTTGGTAGGTGTGTGACTGCATCGGTTTAAGCTCTGACAGTAAGAGTTGCTAAAAGGTTTGACAGCACAGAGGGTTTTGTACTGCACAGCCAGATTTGAGAGGGTGTAATGTTCGAGCTCTATGCTTAGTGCGCTATTAAATGAATTTCTTGTTGCCAAGAATGCATTACGTAATAAACACCAGCCTGTTAGCCATGTACTTTAACGATGTATAAATTAGGTGGATTTTTCTGTTACTAGCATTTGTAGCAAGTCAGTACTTACAATTTTTTGGGAGGCTTTTAGCTTTCTTTTGTAAAGAATCTTTGATACAGCTTTAGCTGCTGCTAGTGAAAGGAAGCGTATTGAGAGAGCTCTTGCGACTGTGGGAAAGGAGAGGTGGCCAGGATCTGGCTGGTTGCTCTAGGAAGCGCGGTGGCACTGCGGTGGCGGGGGAGAGGGGTTTGTACCTGGTTGTGTCCTGTAGCAGTAGGTGGCCAGGTTGTGCAGCCACTTCATCTGTTTCTTATCCGCACCTAACCTGGGTGCGTTTCTCATTCTGAGCTCTTTAACGGGAAATTGGTGCGAAGAACACAGCACAGTCATTTTTAGGTCATTTTTCTTTGTGTAGAGTATCTGTATGTGCGCATGCTACTTAAGCACAACCAAGTGTGATTAGTTGAATTGTGAACCTCTCGTGTCTGGCACTGGTAGAACAGTAATAATTTGCTCACAACAGCCTTCCAAGTGTGGATCTGGTTAGCAATGGTGTAGAGCTCTCAAAGTCCTAAGCTCCTCGGTCTGTTTCGTGTTCTGCCACTTGCTTTCTATGTGATTCTAGGAAAAGATTTAATTCCCATTTACCTTAATCTCTTCAGTTCCTGAAAGATGATTATCATGTTGATTCACCTTTTTAAGGTATTTTTAATTCCTATCACTTAATGGTGCTAACCAATGTACCAATGACATACGGAATTTAGATGACCACATCTTGGTGATAATGACGATGTTTAGAGATTTTGTTGTTGGAAATGTAAAAGTTAAGCTGTCCAGAAGTCATGTAGAAACAGTGTGTAGATAACGCCAGTTCTCAGGCCTTTCCCATAGCTTCCAGGTCTGCTGTCCTCTTTAGTGTAACATCATCAGCCATGCCAGGGAGACAAGTGGATGTGCAAAATGCTGTTAACCTTTCCTTTTTCCCATTTTCAGAGACCTGAAGCCTTCAACATTTTGTCCCTTTTGCTGATTAAGATATTTTTAGAAATGTTTAGATCATCTTGTAATAGATAAATCACCTGATGATTCATAATTTTCTTACATTTTTGAAATTATGGGGAAGTGTTAAACCAGGCTAATGAATCTCCACTCTGCATTTATCCCTCCATTACTGACAGAAGAACCTCAAGAAAAATGAATCTTGAACAAAAGTAACAGGCTTCTTTTACATGTTTTATGTAACAGATGGCAACAGTTTGTTTGACTCAATGGCCGGTGGAATGCGTCTGATCGTTAGCTGCATTTCCTCCTTCCTCATCCTCTCTCTGCTGCTTTTCATGGTCCACCGGCTACGCCAGAGGCGGAGAGAGCGCATAGAGTCTTTGATTGGAGCAAATTGTAAGTAGCCTGTATCTGTAACAAGTCTTGATTTAAGTAGTGTATGTGCTTCAGAATAGAGAGAGCAGAAGAAATAGAAATCTGTGGAGAACATCAGTGGAAGTCTGGTTATAGATTCTAGTCAGTACTGTACCCAAATGTAGCTCTGCGCTGGCTGCCTGAACTGGTCATGATTTGTACAAGTTTTGGTTCTCTGAACCACTCCACATTCGAAGAAAAAACTTTTATATCAACACTTACCTTGTGCCTCGTGCTTATTGTTGACAGATTGATGTACATAAAGGTGAGAAATGTCATGGTCTTGCTTGACTGTGCCTGTGTGTCTTGGTAGGTTCTTCAAACTTGAACTTTTTTAGCTGATAATGGAAAAATATTTTTTGTTTGTATGTGGTCCAAATCTGAAATATCTTCTATGTGTGAATGATCTCCTTAGTTTGAAGAGGTTAGATTCAAATAGATGCGATGCAGGACAAACAGGCTGGGAGCAGGTGGGCCTGGGTATCGTTGTGTAACTGCAGTAAGTTGACTTGTATAGGTTATGTAGACTTTTTTAGGTCTTCAGGACACATGAGTTCCTTGGGTGTGAAAAGTGGAAAAAGGTGTTGAAATCTGCCTTAAATTGAAGAAGAAAGCATGGGATAAAGTCGCTTACTTCTTTTTCTTCTCTTGAAATAGTGCACCATTTTAACTTGGGCCGCAGGATGCCTGGTTTTGATTACGGTCCTGATGGTTTTGGAACTGGCCTCACTCCACTGCATCTTTCAGATGATGGGGAAGGTGGGGCATTTCATTTCCATGATCCACCTCCACCCTATACTGCTTACAAGTATCCAGATATTCAACATCCAGATGACCCGCCTCCTCCTTATGAGGCTTCTGTCAATCCAGACAGCATCCTTTGTTCCACTCCAGGTACGCAGGCAATAACTGCTCTTTTCTTCCTCTTTTTCATTTTGGCTAGAGGGTCGGGGGTTTTTTTGGTTTTTTTCTTTTGTTTTTTTTAAACTAGAATCATGTATTTTAGTAATTGTGATGGGAAAATACATTTCAGGATAAAATCTCCTATTTCTGTGATAGAGGAAGTCTTTTGTTAAAATGTATCATTAAGCTTGGCTTTTCTCAGAGGTTCTTTGGATCACCTAAATTACAAGTGAAATCCATGCTGCAAGCAGTTTAACTCTTAGACCTTACCTTTTTTCAAGCCTTACCTTGGATGGGTTACCTGGTTACCTAGTTTCCACTATGCTGGTACCTTTTCTGGTCTTTTGGAGATAGGTCTGTAGAGATTGGTATTAAAAAGTAGAACAAATGTCAAGTACAAGAGATTTTGAATAAAATATATCCAGTCTTCTCTCTTCCCCACTTCCCCCACCCACATCCCCCCAAAATTGACCAAAAATATAACTTTCTAATGATTCACCCAGTGCTCTTCAGTTTTGCAGCTGCGATATTCACATACTGTAGAAATCATTCCAATTTGGGATTTTATAGCAGCATATCTCACAAGATAAGTGAGCCTGATTAGTGCAAGTATCTTATTTATATATCGAAGTTTTATTTTTGCTGCATAATTTTCCTCTTTTGCAGTGTCATCTCTTTTGTGCATTAATGCAAAACCAAGAAAAACTCAGAGCTTCCAGAAATACAGATAGTAAATCTATTTGGAAACATGAAATGATATACTTCACGTTCTGATTCTGCTTGTTTTTTGTCCTTTGCAGATGGAGTTCTTTCTCAGACTGTGCAAAGCAGTCCTCCATCACTAGGAAACTGTGATGTATCCCCACAGCTTACAGAGGGATCGCTTCCTCCCTCAGTTGGTCCTTCTCCAGTGGAGCTGGAAGACTCTGCTGACAGCAGCACCTTTCTTGTTCCTCCTGACACACCGCTAAATGAAAACACACCGGCAGAAACTCTTACGGGCAGCCGTCACAGCCACTGTTCTCTCAATACTATTGTATAAAGGAGTAAAAAGCCGACCGCCGGTCAGAAATAGTTTTAGCAACTGTTTGCACAGATAAACACTAATCCGTGGTTTGAACTTCAGAAGGAATCTCCACTTTGTTTTTTTGAACACTGCTTTTATGTTCTAGATTAGGATTGTGCCTCTCGTTTTTTGGCTGTCGTTATTCATTCACTAATCGGTTATTCCTGTAAATATGGATTGTATAACTGCTCTTTTTTCCCATTGGCTATGGAAAAGAGTGCAGAGAATTCCTTTGACTTCTAAGGAGGTGAAAAGTATGGGTAGTGTTTGGTTGTTGGTTTTGTTTTTTTTTTTTTCTTAACCTGAGAGGAAACAAAATCTACATCAGAAAAAAGCTGCTTGGATTTGGCTGGATACCACTGGACCCAGGGAACAGACGATGGAAAAGGAGGGTGGGGGCAGTCACCATCCAATCAGTTGCTTTCTCTCTTGCTTCAGTGCTACACTTGGAAAAGGCAGAGAAGACGGAACTGCAGGGGAAGGGGCTGGGGGCCTGTTTTACAGAGCAGGAACACTGAGGAGCTGAAACACATGCCACCAAGTAAGAGTTACACAGTATAAAACATTGCGTGTTTTGATTTGCCTTGCTTTTTCAGAACACCGTAGGGACTGGAGGATGAATGATCTACGCAATATGTGACGAGTGGGTATTAAGAAAACTAGGATTTGCAATTACAATTATTTGTTGTTGGTAGCTGCAAAATCTCATGTTGTCAGGTAAACTTCTGGCCCATAACGAAGACTGGGTCTGTGTAATGCTTGTGTTAGGTTGTACTTTAGGGAAGAGATGGGGAGCAATTAACTTTGATGCAGTCTCACTTTCACGATATGAAGCCCCTGTTTGTTATAATCTCATAAGGAAGATCGAGGTATTTTTCTTTGTAGTTTTAACTCCTTTACAGTGAACAGTTGCACAAGACTGTCCTGGATAAAAGACCATTGTTCTTGCTTTTCTTATTGCATGCTATATTTAGCATGTAAGTGTGTTCCCTCACCTCCGTTTCACTTCTTTATAGTTCTACAAATACCATTTAAAAACAGTGATCAACACACATGATGTTTAATTCTAATTGGACGCATGTTCCTTTTCTGAGTCCCATAAATTGCCAACCCTATTCTAGGCATTTCCCCTGTGCCTCCCAAACCATTTATCCAGGTCCCACAAGGGGTTATAATGAGGTTAGTGTACTTAAATCAATGAAGCAGTTTGCTTCAGTCTGAGACGTCATCTCAGATTTCCCCCTCAGGTTGAACTCCTTAAACTAAGTTAATTTACAGATAGCAAAAAGATTCATTCGCTCCCTCACTAAACCCAAAGTCAAGCACTGTTGGTTTTGATAATGCGTGCAAAATAATCTTTACAGGTGATTTTAAATTTAAGTTTGGATTTCAGTATGCAAATAATTTACCCTTTCCCCCCATACTCCTCTTGCCTCTGCTTCTCCTTGACTTACTGTAGCAGTCAACAGATGAGATGAATTATAAGGAATTTGTAAAAAATGCCCTTTGTGAGTGTTCTCCTGTTACCTTATGAAGGGTACAAGCCTAGAGGGACAGGAAGAAAACACTGCATGGGGATGTGTATGTGATCTATTTTTCTAGTAATGATGAGAAATCATACTCATATGACAAATCCTAACCCGCTGTTGTGG